TTGGTTTAGGTTGTTATCAGGCAACTCCTGAAACGAACTTATCCTATCGTACATACACGTTCTGCGTGTCAGTAATTACGAGCGACGATAATGCTGTCGCACGTAGAAAACGAACTTGAATATTCCATTCCGACAGGTGAATACCGTTTGCAGTTGTCAACGTGTTCTCCTTTCGCATTCCCGGCTTAGCTATTCGGTCTTTGTGTAGCAAAAAGAACACTTTGTACTACCGCGTTGCCGCACCATACCGTAAGTATAGAATTTTCTTTGTAATATGAAATTACGTAACTATCGAGATAAAGTGATCCAATTGCTTTCATCGTGTGCCCTTAATTTTGAAAATAGTCTGCGTCGTTTCAAGCGTCGATAATCGTATTTTCTTACAAGTTACACCAAATATTACACAATCATGAATTCTTGTTTAACAAGCATCGATATTTTTCAATATTTACCGAAATATTTCGTTGCATCATAGAACAATATTTTTTTAATCTATTCAAACTGAAACCTTGAAACATCTCGACGCTAAAAATACACAGCTTACTCCACGTTTCGAGTTAACGGCACATTCGTGTAGTTTCGTTGGAACATCTTTATTTAAGGACTTTTCTTGTTTTCGTCGTTAGGCCTGTCTCGTCCTTTTCGGTCCTCGGTCTGATTCATCGATCCTAACGATCAACAAACTTTTCACTTGAAAGTTTGTTCGTTCGGCTCGAGTTATCAGACCGAGGAAATACGTGGTTCGCCCCCCAAGGTGCAATTGACACGGTGTCACAAAAAATCCGACCTTCGACCTTGTTTTTGGAGATTTCTGCGATATTCCATGACGCGTTGCTGCAATTCCCGGTCGGTGGGTGTATACGCTGCGTAAGTCCTTAAGCGAGCTTTTGCGAGTTCCAAGTCCTATTCAAAAATACTGATTTTAATGTATTTGTTCGCACGGACATCTCTATCGCAAAAGATCCATTTAATTCGTAGTAATGAAAATAAATGTTATCTTATGCAATTGGCCTTCACGTTGTCCAAATGTTCAACATCGAAACTTACAGGGACCGTACCATCATTAAACGATTTTCATTTCATTTTCATACTGTACCTTTAGGAATGTTCGATTACGAGCCACGGATTCCTCCGAATTTATACGGAAAATCGGCGTCAGAAACTCTTCCAGTTGTTTTCCATATTGCAATTTTTCCGAGGAAATATTGCGTGCGTGAATATCATTAGCTTGCATCGTTGTCATCATTATTCACGAGTTTTCATGCTTACACGTGGCCGTTCTATTTTACTTATGCATACTTTCCAGTTTTAAGCTAGTGTAATTGATACAGAAAATGCTCATGCATGTTTAAAATGTATTGTCAGTTACATAAATGCGGGCACAATGTGTATGTGTATGCGAGCGGTTATTTCGTTGCTTACTGCTGTAAGTTATTCTTATATTTTTCAGGCAACGGATCAATGGATAGCGTGACGCCAGCGTTAACGTGGAAACACATTCGTCGTCTGCGTTGACCTGTGACCTTCGATTATTTGCCTCCTTATTTTTGTTTACCGAACGGACACGATAAAAAATAAGAGGACTAAAATAAAGCCGTTTCGCATCTGAAATGATAACTGGAATTTTGATTGTTTGTATACATGTAGGTTCCCAGTTTCTATAGAGACGCTGCGACCACTTATGGCAACAATCAATATCGACGCCCGCGTCGGATGCGCAACACGCACGTACACTTCACAAGGATAAAGGAATTTTAATTAAACTCCGAAGTATATCTTAAATAAATTATATTCAGCATACTGACATTCATAATCCTAAATATGAAATGTTCTTAACTTCGAGTATGTGCAAAATGTATCTGGATTTTAGTAATACATTCTAATGGATGACCATACAGATTTTTTTTTGTTTTAATTCCCCCTTATCGGATCATTCATTCTTCTAACGATTGCGACGTCGGCTATAAAAGAATGTATCGTAATCGAATCAGAATTGACATGAACGTAAAGTACAAAAGAAAATCTTGTTGCTTACCAGAATGTATATGTGGCTCGGTATTGATCGCTCGATCACTTCCGAGATACGCGCTTTACTTACTTTACGCTCTTCATCTAGGAAAAGTATGAGAACAAAATAAAAATTTGAACCGTAAACGTTGAATATACGTGTACTGTTAAATTGTTACCAGAAGGAACGGCTAAAGACAGCATTGGTAGTTGCACGAAACCAGCCACAAGTGGACGTAAAATCCATTCGACTTTTCTCTCATTTTTGGGAAGTATGTAAATGTCGACCTGACATAAATTATGCGATTAGTTACCATGTTCCAAGTTTCTGAAGTTCCATGCAGTTACGTACTTGTTTCTGACCAGCAAACATAAACGCTTCACTAGCTTCCATGGTTAGTCGTAGTTTAATCATGTAATCGGAATGATTTCTTATAAAATATTTTACAAACAACGGCGTTCGGACTAAACCATGAGCCGGCAGCTTAGCTTCTAAACCAATCAATGCATCTTCGACCCACAAAGGAGCTAAAGTTACACTGCTACTGGTTTCCAATGCATTCTCATCATTGGCGCTAAAATTACATAGCACATTACTAAATTATTACTTGCTAAGACATTTTAGCTTAACAGGTTATGCGCGATGATTTTTACCGCTTCCATCTAATAGTGTATACTCCGATACTGGTAGGTTGTTCACTACCAGTTCTTGGTATCAAGCAATACGAATCCGTTCCTGTTTCACCTTCAGTTAGCGTGATACCAGCTAAAACGGATTCAGATTGGTTTGCATCCTCTCTTTCTATGGAATCACCCTGCACGGTAATGTAATATTAGAATAACAAACATTTTATAATAAAACTAAAGTATACAAATGTTACTTACTAGCTCTATAGAGGTACTAATAATATTTATAGGCCGAGGAGAAACGCAGGAAATGTGTGGCATTATTATAAAAGGCTCATTAATGAAGCCTTTTGTCATTGGCTCAAATTGTGTCGTATAAAATAATGTTGACACTTCAAATGGCTTCGCCACTGACAGCGAGTATGTTAATTCCTTCATTCCTTTGATTTGTTCAGGTTTCGTGTATTCAACCTGTAATTTTTAAACTATAGATAAATATATATCATATGCATTTACTTTGAAACGATTCAAATTAATGTCTACCTTTATGTGGATATTTCTGTCTCCAATTTTATGAGCTCTTAAGTATACCGTATGATTGGACGTACTATTTTTGTCTAAGTTTTCAATTGGTATTGATATTAACGGTTGTTTGTTCTGCATTGTCAAACTTAGTTCCGCTAGAAATTTAGAAATAATGAAGTCAGCTCAAAGTTATATAGTACCGATGATATATTACAAACATACTTGATTGTTCGTTCACTCCGTCAGATACTAGCGCTACGTTTAACAACGCAGATGATAAATTTTCATTAGCGGTGACAGATATTTTAATAGGAAGCCATTCTCCTAAGAGTGCTGGGTTATTGGATTCCGCAGATATAGTTAGACTAGATTCTTCTTGTTTGATTTCTGCAATGACTAACGGTTGTATCATTTCGAATTCTCCTCTGCTGTTATGAACATGAAATATCTTAATTTTTCCTTTAAAAAACACATACATGTTTATAGAAATGGTTTACTTCAAACATACCGAAGCTGTTGTACCTCGGGGTACAATCGACTCAAAAAATTCGTCTCCCTTCCGAGAGCGGAGAATCTTAAGACGATACAACAAACAGTATCATCACCCATGTGTAACGAAACTGTACTAATACGTATTTCGCTGCTATCAGTAGTTTGCGGTGCTTGAAATTGATACTGAAGTTTCTTCATTTCTTTTGCGGCGAAAGTAAGGTTGCAATGCTCAGCACCGGTAATAGTAAAGTCTGACGAGTAGCCAGAATTTCCAATTGTTATTGACACTTTAGAAAGTTCTACGGTACCGCTATACAAATTTCTGTAAGTAAAATGTAAATGAGCATTACAATAATTTTGCATTTATGCAAGCACCTTTTGAAGATAAATTACCTGATAATAACTTCTACATTAACCGTAGAATTAACAGCATATTTTGCTTGCAAGAATCGTGCCTTAATTTCTATGAATGAACTCATATTATTGTCGTCGATTGTAAAGAAAATTGGTTCTGACTTATTAAGCTCCAATTTCCATTTTTCTAATGCTGGAAATGTCACGTCATAAGGTAAATCAAGTTCCAGACTTGGAGGTTTCTTCTGTTGTTTCAGAAAAATTCATTGATTAATTAGTCGTCAATTATTATATGTGATGATTTGAATCTATGTCAACGTACATTAAGAATGTTCATAATATTTTTGTATATTGCAGCTTTATAATCTTCTGAAAATGTAGTGGAAGGTCCTAATGCTTCGAACGCTAATGTGATGTAATCTTGAATGCTCGTAGATAGGTACGCCGCTCTCAAAGCAGTACTCAAGATATTTGTAATTAAGACGGGCCACCGTTCTCCATGATATTCCCACAACATGTGCTTCAATAATCTGGCCAATCAAATTTTATGATTTTGATGTTAAGTTATGAAAATAGTCTAGAGGGAATAATGTTAGGATCAATCAATTTTGATTTACAAGAGGCATCAAGTTTCGTAGGTGGTTTCCAAATAATTTCGTTATAGTCTCTATTTATTGTAGCAATAGTTTAACTCCAACTTACGTGAGTACTTTTCCATAATCCTTGGCATTATAATACTCTTCAGCCATTTGTACCACTGAAATAAAGTTATCCTATTACATATTGTTTACAAGGATAAAATATTAATATAAACGTACTGTACCTAGTACTCTTCTCATTCTTGGACATCTGTATTGTACGAATTGCTGAATTGCTTTTCCCAATAATGCAGTAATTATTTCCTGAAAGCAAAATACCGTTTATGTGTGTATATATATAGTAAAATATAAAACCAATTGAACAAATATGTCTTACTGAATGATTCACTGTATATTTTTCTTTGTATTGTAAAGCCTGTATAGCAACTGCTTCCTTCACTGAGTCTGCAGGTTCTGCACTCAACTTCCCCGGTCGCCATGGCCTTTGTCCATAGAATTCCAATTTTTCTTCTCCAACTAGTGGATCCGGATCCGGATAATTATTAATATTCTAAAATAATATGTATTTTATATGCAAGTGTGTTTAATGATTCTGTATAAATATCTGTTAATTTTACTAATTCGCATACTTGACATAGTTCTTTACAAGCTGTCTGTCTCAAGCTTGCATGATCAGCTGCTGATTGAAAATACAAGCCAGGGTGTTGCCAAGGTGGAACTTGAAGATCTGGCCGTATCTTTCGGATAGCTTCATCAAATAATTCAGCAAATGTAGAGAACTGACTGCACATCCATGCATGATGTTCAAACATAAGTTCTTTTGGACCAGTCTTCGATTTAAATCTGTGTTACCAACATAATGTTATCAGAATGATGCTTATTATTTATTATTCAACTTACTTATTATATTGACCTCTGACCTGTCAGTATGAGCTCTTAACTGTGATATGGCTTCTTTAACAAATTTCAAATTAAATAATATTTTACATAGCTTATAGTTGATAAACCAAGCAACAGTTTTAACTTCCATTGCATTTGTATCTGTCATTTTTATATCAGACAAATTACTGTACGCTTGCTCATAATGCCTGCATAGAAATTTAAGGCTTTAATTATGAAGGATCTACATATTGATATTACTTAACTTACTTTTTTGCCAAACTCTGATCTTGTCTCAGTTCATTTAAGAATGCCATTTTGAAGTGGTGACGTACAAATAAATACTGATGCACAGTTTTATTAAGTTGATCCCTGTGTCCTTTGACAGTTCGATATTCGTGATGATAGAAATTTTGTGCTAAATCGTATAATGCAGTTTCCAATCTACAAGTGTATATATTTAATCATACAATATATGGTCAAATAATAGAAGAATTAATTTATTAATTACCTGGATGTATAGCCTAATAAATGATTTCCATGTGGTAGAATATATAATAATTTTGGTGGTAGTTCACATGCTCCACAAACAGCTGTAGCTCTTTCAGTTGCTAAAGCATCTTCAGAACCAGGTGGTGGCTGGGTACAATGCTGTATAAGTACTACAGCTATTTTTGTATTTCTTCCTTCTAATGCATTCCTGATATTATAAATAATTAAAAATAATAAATATATCCTTTATTATTATGTAATAAAAGTATATTTAATTTGATTATCACCTAAGTGTTTGTACTTTGGTAGCACATTCCATTTTTTTATCATTCCATTGTGGGTCATTCCAATCTAAATCATAAAATACCACTACAACTGCTGGAATTTCATTGAGATACTTATTCATCCAATTACATTTCAATATTCCTTTGGGTATATAATAATCATATAAGTTGACCTATAACATATGTTTGATGGTAAACTTTTGGTTCCAAATTATATTAATTATATTCAATAACCACCTTAGGTTTAACTCTAGGGAACTGATGTGTTGGGCTAAGCAATTTAAACTGGATAACAGAATTTTCTAATCTTCGATTATTACTAAATGCATCCCAAATGGATCGATGCACTGGATTTGTAATATCTAAACCGGTTAAACCGATAAGAGCCAGTGGCTCGGTTACCAATTCTGTTGGTAATTTAAACATAATTTAATATTGCCTGCAATCAGAAAAATAGCATTTTAAGGCCTACATACAATTTTTATCTACATTACATTAACATAAATTTTATATTTTCTCTTCTGACGTCTACATACATTTCCATAAACGTAACGATTCTTCTCATCAATGTACTACATTGAGAAAAATTACTATTAAATATAAACTTACTTAGTATAGTACAAAGTGATACTATTCACATATACGTGCGTACAGTTTGACAGCTTAGGTTATGTGCTGCTATTTGATGATATTGTGTAGGCGACTAGCAGTGCCATCTATAATCATTATCGTCCTAATTGCGAATGCGATGCGAAACGAGATACTTGGATCTGATTGATGTCATGGATATTATTCTTGGTATAAGAAATGCAATTTTAATTTAGACCGTATAAAAGTATCCAAAATTAAAAACAAAATCAGGAAGTCAAAATTAAGTATAATAGAGAGACTTTTATGTCAGTATATATATTACATCCTCTCAATGAGTGAAATTGAACCTCATTGCTAACATTGGACCACTGATGTCGTTATAATAATTGGACAGTTTTATTTGGAATTTATTATTACAATTACTAGACAATATCAGAGGCATTCAACAGTTCCGAATTTTTATCTTCTTCGATAGGATTATGTCTGCTCGCAGAACCAGGGGAATTTAATTTCGTCGGTTCAGGCGTCAATCGAACTGTTGTACCATGTCGGCTATAGTCTTCGATTTCTCCAACTGGCCGTTCAATCTCATCCTCCATATTGGTCCTCCATTTGTTCTGCAATTTCAAATAAGGTTCTATTTGAACTTCTTTCATCTCAATATTCCTATTTCTATAATATATTTTTATTCAATTATTCATTCATTATTCAATTTATTTAATTCTATTTCTATTTTTATAACGTTATCATTTTCATATTTAATAGCAAATAATACGAAATATTATCTGTAGATCATATATATTTTACAGTAGATTATTCAAGCGTCGATCAGCTAAACACCGAAGCCTCCATCTTTTACCTGAATGATCTTCAAAAATTCCTCACGAAACTCTTTGCTGCAGGAGAAATATATGAAAACGTGAACAGCGAAATTTGAAAGCTCCGTGACAGCTGCGAACGCGCGAAACAGATGGTAACCAGTATCCAGGGTCTCGTAATTATCATACAAAAACGGGAGAACGATCGACGGTATCATAGTCACTACAAAGCACGTCACTATGACCGACATTAGTGTAGCAAGGTGCTGTTCCTCTCTGAAACATGATTTAACGTGGATAAGAAAATTGATTACCCAGTTGCATGCAATGGCCATTAACTTTCGAAAGGGTAGCCCATTATTTCATTGATGTTTTGCTTAGTTTTAACTTTGCTTGTATTATACAGGGTGCTCCCTTAAAAACATTTAAACCCATATACCACGCTCAAGATAAATAAAATAAATTCTTCTATGCATATCATTTCCAAGATAACTTAAAAACATTTCATGCAACAGAGAATTTCATTGAGAATTAACAGATAACATCAAGAATTAATTCAGAAAAGTATCAGATACCCTTGAAGTGGCCTTAAGAATTATATCAAACAAAAATCCACTTGCACATTTGCATTTATTAATTAACACGTTGACTGTTCAACCGCTCAAATAAATATATAATAATGTAACTTAAGAATCACAGTACCAAACAGTTGACAATCATTTCTTTTTACCTACAAAAGAAAAAATGACACATAAAATGATACATAAATATACAGTCAACGTGTTAAAACACACACACACAGAATTACTTTCTCATTTGTCAATATTGTCTTCCGTAGACGCAAGAAGGATCATTCTGAGGGGTTTAAAGTTTCCAAGGTCGATCGAAGGTCAACCGAAACTCGTCCCAAGTTTTTTCAATATCGGATCTTCCTTCGAGCTATCCGTGGAAGGGATTTAAGGCTGCCGTGTGTTAAGTGAGATATAATGGAGGGTGCACTCAACTAGAGCAAACAAGAGTTTCGAATTTCACACCACTCGAAAGCCCGCCCCTCTGCCAGCTACGCTCAGTCCGGCTGGCTGACTATATAGCTACCTGTAGCCACGGTTGCGAGTCAGCAACGATGTGTCGGGAAGATTCGCGGTGCGGTACTTGTCAGAGACTGATTGGAACTCCCTTTTCTTTCTGTTCAGATGCAAGAATCTCTTGACGACCGCGGTGTTCAGCAGAAGGAGGATCATGGTCGGGCAAAGCCGAGTCACGATCTCCATGATCCATATGTACGCGTGCCACAGAGGATGCCTCGTGAAGGAAACGTTCTCGCGCAACGTGAACCGAATACCGGCGCCATCCGGCTGTTCGTGGACCGTTCTCGTTCCAGTTAGCGGAGCACTGATCTACGGAGTGACGTTAATTGCGTTTAGAATAACGATTTCATCGGTGATTATCAGCATCGTCTTCTTAACCGTTCGAGTGCCACCGATCGAAATTGTTCTCTTCTGTTACGTATAAAAATTCTAGATGGTTCCAGGTGATGCACTCGGAAGTGCACTAATGCACTCACTAGAAGTGTTTAATATTTTTTGACGAAGACGATATTCTTTGAAACTCGAGGGAAATCACAAGTTGAGGAGCAAAGCTATTCTATTCGAATGTTTCACGTATCGAGGCATACCAAGTTCAACATTAAATATCAGGTTTTCTAGTTTTACTGCGTTGGATCAAGTCACCTCTCGAGTGCAAAGAGTTGAACGAAAGTAGAAAAAGTATTAGAAGGTAATAAGAAAAATATAAGTAAATAACAAAACAATAATTAGAATGGAAACGAAAACATAAACTTAACACGTTGAATACCCGACCAAGTCGAGTTATTATTATATTATTATTTTTATATTATAAATAATACGGTAACATTCGGCAAGATAAACGTACTAATACGATTCAATGAAATAATTTCATATTACATCGTTTTCGTTTTGTGCATTTTGCTACGTGAAATCGTGCATTCAACGTGTCAATTCAATTGTACGAACCGATAGGCTGTCACTATTAAGCTATAGAATCACGGAGAATCACGTTTGTCACTCAAACGGTTAACGCAAGAGCATTCAAATACCGCGAATCCGATGATGAACGAGCACAGAACGAACGAGCGGACGTCTTTGCGTGCGTTTCTGCTCCGAATCCGGGCCGGGAAGAAAATGAAGATGTATCTATCCACGATCAAGCAGGTCATTATTAGAATACTCGCCAGGGCGAAGACGTTCACAGCGACGAGCTCCATGTGCGCGTGGTAGAACGCGGACGGGTAATTGTTCTTCATACCGTGACCCAGTCTGATAACTGAAACCCGATACATTCATGATTAACTTATGTATTTCCTTTTTTTAGCGGAATTCCACCGTGACAAGTACATATCGGTATCCACGATATCATGACTCCGACGTGCGCCAGGGTTAGTCCTTTGAGATACAGATAAGCGATACCGCGGAACGTCGGCGTAGACAGTACCAGCAGTATTAAAACATTGCCGAACAGGCCGGTGGCTATTATCGTTGGTATTATTATTTTGTAAATGATTCTTAACAGAGGCGCGGTCTCGTGGAGGGTGCTTCTGTTCCCATTGGCGACACCGGTCCACGTGAAGTTCTCATCCTCGCAGCACAAAAGGGTTCTGAAACATGAAAACTTTAATGCTCACGCGGCATGAAATTGTTTAACCCTTTGCGCTCGAAAGGTATATAGAGGATTTGAAACTAATTAACGAGAAAACAGATAAATTGCGAAGGACAGTTATTTTATTTCAATATTCCAGATACTGATGCATTATACAAATGATTAACATTAGATTCATGGACACTTGTACGGTTTGTTCTACTGATCCCAGACAATTTTTTCGTTCACTTGGATTTTGGAATTTAGATGTTTAACGATAGATAATTACACATACTGTAATTGCGTCAAAATTCAAGTAAGCGTTTATCAAATAATTATAAAATTCAGTTCAGATCAACGTATGAAAATGTCATCTGTATCTCATTAGAAAATATTGAATATTTCCGGTGAGAAGCTTCTGGAGTGCAAAGGGTTAAATCAAGCGGTGACTGAGAGTCACCTTTCGAACGCAAAGGATTGATATTCAGGACATTTGTTCACTAGTGAATAAATTGCAACGGAACGAAGCCCGGTGTCTTCGCGAACGTACCCCTTGAGAACTCCTGTTAGCATAATGAACTGTTTACGCGAAACGAGGGATCCTGTCGCAACTGTAGGGCCGCGTCGGGCTCAGCGCGGCGTGTACGTTTGCCTCGCGTGTTCCACCGACTTCATTGATAATCACTTCAGCCGTGAACGGGCGCACAACAAGTTCTGCGAGATCCATCTCCGATGAGCAGACCGGCGGGTACCCCGAGAAAAAGCCGATATCGCGCATGCTCCCGCCGCGGGGTGACTTATTGTTGTGCCCGAAGTATATTTACTTGTACATTATAATTATATTCCGGCGCCCTTCGTCCGGCTAACTCGGTTAAAGATGCAATAAAGGCGCGCACCGCGATAAACTAATAGCTCCTCCGCGAGCGCGCCGCGCGACTCGGCGCGCTTCCGGGCGGCCGATAATTGGAATGACCAACAGAAGAGGCTGCCGGGGAGGACCGCCGAGACGGGCCCCGAGTAGGAAAACTGTAAATTAGTTGTGAACCTTCACTTTCTCCCGTGCTATTTTCTGAAAAGGACGTCTGGCTAATAGATGAGCTATAGATTACCAAACACACACGGCCCAGGTGGGGCCGGTTGGTATAAATTCAAAGTGAAACCGCTCCTCCTCTGGCTAGCGCTCGATCGCGCGGCGATTCACATTGACCGATTCCTGACCCCGGTCGGCATGAAGCTGAACGCGATAGGATGCGTACTTTGGTAACGCTTTTAGCTTCGAACGGTCCTCCGCGAGAGACGTGTCGCCTCTGAATTAATCGTTTGTCCGTTTATATTTAGGGCGGTGCTCGTCGATTTCAGCGTCGTCACGCCGAGGACCCTGGAGTCGAACGATTCCTGCCCCTGCGTCTCCTCCGCCGAGTGCTCGGAGAAGTCTCGGCTGTTCTTCAACAACGTCCAGGTGTTGATACTGCCCTGCGAGGACAAGAATCTAGTAAGGTGCTGCTCGACGGTGGCGAGATCGATAGAGGCGGCGCACACGAATGGATCTCTGTGGGAATCTAAGAACGAGGTCGACTCGAAGATATCGTCGACGCAGGAGATCGTCGAAGAGCCAACGTCCATGATGCAGATCAGCGTGCCTTCCCTGGAGGAATCCGCCTGGGACGTTCCCGTGAACGAGTCCGAAGGTCTCGACGACGCGAGCACCGTCGAAAGTAAAAATGTCACTCGCACGGATCCAGCCGAAGATTCCGCAGAGGTGACGCAAAAGCTTCGGAGCGACGCGATCGTTAAAAATGTAAATCAGGTACCGTTGCAACACCCGAGGAAGGAATTTCTCTCAGAGCCGAGGCTGATTCATGGTAAAATTCTAAGCAACACGGTAACGAGTGCCTCGTCAATTTCGAATTTTAGAGCCTCGGGGAGCGCGGTTCGAGGTAATCTCGAACCGAAGAGGACTGGTCAGACGGTACCCGTTTCACTGGCTCACGACGAAGACGACTCGTACGTTCTCGACCTGATCTACAAGGTGAAGAACTTCGAGAGTCGCAGGACGGTGCCGAAACAGCCGGATTTGCTGTTGGACTCCGTGGGAGAGGCGAGGTTGGCCCCTCCCGATGCGGTGGTTCTGAACAATGGCTATTTTAACATGAAACTCAGAGTTCTGCCGGCGGCGAGGAGGTTGTCTGAAAAAATGAGCGGTCCCTTGGAGCAGAAAACGTCATTAGAGAAGGCTCTCACGCTCGATAGGGTATCCGCTCAAGCGACCAACGAAAATGCAAGCCCACTGAGCGATCTTGATGTGGCGGAGCGCGACGATACGTCGAATGGAAACTTGTCGCACCCGGAAGACGTCGAGGATGTTAAGCGGGTCGCTCGTAGCCACGCTTCGGAGCCTAATGAAGAGACTCCCGGATTCTCGTCCCCCGTTTCGGAGGCCGCGAGTCAAACGGAAGCCGAGGCTGCTCCGACGAAACGTTTCAGAAGACCGCCGAGGGTTCTGCCCTTCAGGAACCTGCACAACGAGGAACACGGTTCCGGTAAATTCGCGAACTCGCAGGAGCGAGCCAGAAGCTTGTTCGACAAGTCGAACGAAACGAGGAGAAAACAGGTGTCCCTTCTCATCAACAGGAACGACTCGAGTCCGAAGAAATCGGGCTCGATGAAAGCGAATTATTCGAGTACGGAGAGGACAGGAAACGAAGGTAGCAGTTCGGAGAGTAGCGTGGATTTATCGACGGAGGAAAGCGAATTGGTCGACGAGGATCGTTAGGATGTAGACGAGAAGGAAAATAAAGAAAGTAATTCGGTATCGGAGGAGGGGTTTGTTTAATTATCGCACCTAGTCATTAATGGTCGCATTAAAACGGAAGCGCGACGTTCTTTTTTTATTATCGTCGAATCAATACTAAAAATGGACTGGCTCCTATCCTCTTAGCAGCCTGTACACGGCGCAGAAATTTATTCTCTGTTCAACCTTCACCTTTAGATATTGTATGGTATTAACTTTCACAGGCCAGACCCGAAAAAACCATGTAAACAACTCCGCGATGGAATGTTTGTATTTGATTGATGTTTATTCGATACTGTGAAAAAAGGGGTAAACATTATTCTGCGTTGTCGAGTCGAGCGAGGAACGATAGTATTTTTAGAAATGAAAATCAATTGATCGTCCACCTAAGAATGCTGTTGCATTTTGTACATTCTGTTGTATAATCGATTATAATAAAGAAAGAATATATTTTCTTAACGGTTTTATTTCACCGTTTGATTTGAAATTCGAATGAAACCGTTACGTGTATGGAGATGGTGTGATTCGATTATAACTTAACATTTAAATATGGAATATTCTTGATGTGTAATATTTCTTCTCTTTCGAAGTAGTGTATCAATTTTCGGAAGCAGTTGGCATTCATTCGAATAGATTCCATTAGAAATCGTGAACATTATCTGTCAGTTTTGAATTTTGTGCACGTTGGGTTGGCACTACTTATGCGTCCTGCGTCGAGGAAATTTGAAATTTAACGGACGGAAAGTGTTGTAGCTGCATTGACGTGAGAGTGAATCGTCTCGATAATAATATAAATAAAATGGCTGAGTTTAAGACGCCGTCGAAGAGGTACAAGAGCAGATTGCAGGACAATTTAGAAATACAAACTCCTATTAAGATACCAGCCTCGCCGTTTTTAGAACAGATAGGTTATGGAACCGGTAATACTATTTACTATAATGATATAATTATATTTGTATTACTATGAATTATTTTATAAAGTAATTCTTTGATATAATATTATTTAATATCATATTTTCTATAAACATAATATCAGCAAATAAATGTGTTGTCAGGTGTCAGCGTGTTTTCCTTGGAACGATCGCCGAAAGTCGGGTTCGCTCGATCACCATGGGCAATAAAGAAAAGGAACCATAACGTTAAACATGCAGAAGAGTACAATGAACGCATTCGATTCGAAGCAGAGGTACTTCGTAAGCTGAATCATCCAAATATTGTAGGTTTCCGAGCATTGACTGAAGTTTCAAATGATGGACAAATTGATCCTTGCCTTGCAATGGAGAAATTGGATGCTTCTTTAAGTATAAAAAAACATTCACTACTTAATTGTATGAATTATTGAGCAATTGAAACAGTTGTATATTTTTAGGTGATAAGATAGAAGAAAAACTTTGTAGTGATGACGATCCATTTCCGGCAAAAGTTATTTTGAAAATAACATATGAAATTATGAAAGGATTAAAATACTTGCATCATACTGCTTATATTTTGCATGGTGATATAAAAAGTCATAATGTATTGGTTTCTGAAGATTACAATAGAGTTAAGCTTTGCGATTTTGGGGTATCTGTACCACTTACAAAATCATTAAAAATGGATATATCAAAAGGGGACTTTGCATACATTGGAACAGAGTGCTGGAGCGCGCCTGAAATAATACATGGTTGTATTTTGATTAGTATCTAAATGACCATTTAGATAACTGCAGTCTATTAAATGGAAATTTTATTTCTCAGGAGATGGACCTGTTACAAATGCAGCAGACATTTGGGCAAGTGGCTTAGTTATGTGGGAAATGATAGCTTTGTCAACACCTCATCTAGAGACAGTGGAAAAAGATGCCAGTTCTTTTGATGATTCATTTACAGAAACAGACATGCAAGATGTTACAAGAAATAGGAGACATGATGAGAGCATGAATGACAGTGTTGTCTTCCTGGAAGAAATAATTCATGCCAAATATGGTAAGTATTTCTATAGTGGTATTTTTAAAAGTTAGTACATTAAGTATATTAATAATCACAGGTACACGCCCACCATTACCTGCCATTCAACTAGGGAAGGAATATGACAGTGTCCTTGAGTTATTTTTTGTTTGCACTACCATGGACTATAAACATAGACCAAGTGCAATAGGTCTTGTTAGATACTTCGAAAATTATGTATACAAAAACAAGGTATGATAAAAGAAAAGGTTTAACAATTGTTATAAGTATTACATATTAACAGGATGGATAAACTATATAGTGATAGGAAAAATACCTTTATTTTTCTAATGATATTAAAATGGCCATATTTTTTACTTTTACACTATTTACAAAAGCAAAAATAGTAGTAAGAGAAAAATAATTATAGCACAGACGATAAAACCGATTTTAACCTTTCTCTGAAAAAAATATTTTGTATTTAATTATATAATTATGTTTTTATTATGTATCCGTTGATATATAATATTAATACCTTTCTATATCTGTGACTTCGTTTCTCTGCTTTTTTGAGGTCTGTGCGACCAGTGTCAACATTGTTTGCAGTTTTACCAGCAAAATATTCTACACTATTTACCTGTTCACCCTGTTAAAAAAAAGTTGAAGTTTGAATTTTGTTTACTTGAAAGTTACTTACATTATACTTACCTGTTTTTCAATCAGGAACGCCATTTCAGTAAATATATCTCTTACTTCTGCAATGGATTTTTCTAGTTTCACTATATCATTGTGTCTGCTTTGTATGTCTGACAATTGTTGTCTAGCAATTTTACTATCCTCTAAAATCTATCAGTCAAGGAGATTATATCTGCTTAATCTGAATAAATGTAATAATAACACTTACATTATCGACAAACAAACTATTTTCTTGAGAGTCGAGTAAATTATCCAATTCCTCACTTGTGATATGCCTTCTGACTAGAAGTTTAAGGAAACTGGTATGAATATATTTAAATGACAACAATTCGGAATATTTAGAAACGTACTTAACGACTTTTGTTGTTGTAATAGTAAACGGCATTTTTCGTGGTATCTCAACATAGACATATTGTATTCTTCCATAATATCTGAGAATAGTCTTATCATTGTTGTGTATTGCAATGCTTTAATTCGTAAATGCGCGGGACCCTCTATGATACTTGACAAAGATAAATCATCAATTGGAGCAATTTCTTTTCCCATTTCTGTAAAAACGTATTGTAATATTCATTTTAGTTTTGTGTACAAATCCTACATGTACTTTCAATGTAGCTTATAACGTGTAATTCAAAATTAACATTTCTAATTAAGATAAGGTAGTGTTTATTTTTTAGACCACTCAATTTCCATCATTCCACGTGACCTGACGCTCTGAACGTAAAATAGTTTTGCCCGCCTAAAATCTAGCCAATTCTATCGACATATTTTCTGCATAATATACTTTGAATATGTAATATACTTGTAACTCTGAGTACAACATCGGTTGTGATAACATATAAATTATTACTGTGATTTTTATCAGCGTGTGTATGAAAATACGATGCGAAAATGCACGCTTGTTTACAGAGTTAAAAATGTTGCATATTGCGGAGAATGTAATTGGTCAGTAAGTTTCCCGCTTTCGCATGGACGCCAGAGTCGTTTATAGGACTTTACATATTATGAACGAAATGTTCCGTGATAAACATCGTGTAAAGATTTCTGTTCATGCACACTACAACGGAATTATAAAATCATTATCGATACGTACTCAGAAAATGATAACCTGAGGCCACAAGTTTTTCTTTATCGAATGATAAGTTAAGGTTATATTTACATTTACAAGATATATTTGAAAGAAATTGATAATAATTGTAGCTTTCGTTTTAAAATGATTTAAACCAAGAGCAGTTGTTACTATGGAGTCTTTAAAAATATTTGACGATTTTAAATTCAGTGATCTCAACGAAGACTGGATTCAATCCATTTGGGATACAGAATTTATGATTTACAATGAACCACCTGATGAGTACCTCATGTTCTTAGAAAGTGAAGATATAAGACTGCTTCTGCATGAGACCTGCATAATTGTAAAGTCATGGCTAGCTATAGGTAAGGATCAGAATGATACTGAACAGTGTTCGGAAATCTCTTGGAACACATTGATCATAATGGATATAAAGGTGCGTGCTTTATTAGCTGTATTGGGTTATATAATAAACAGCGGCCAAAGTAAAGAAGCTGATGATGATTCCAAACAATCTTGTCTTTATGCTACCAATTTATATTTTATACTTTTGGCTATTCCCGGTAGTAGTGCTTTTAATGTATTCCACCCAAATTTATATCAACATGCTATCGAGACGCTGAAAAGGAACTCTGTCCAACTGCAACCTCTTGTCAAGAAGCGTACTAAACCAGTGAGTTTAGATGATTTTAATATAACGGACGAGTCAATAAATGACAATGTCATTCTTTTACCTAATGAAAAAGAAACATTAACGAAAAATTTAAATATAATTATTTGTAGTTTGATTACAATGATAAGGTCATTCTGGTTTAAAGACCATATGCAATCATTAGACACTACTATTCATGGGTTACTTGAGGTAACAAAAGTAGAAAGTGATTGTATGGATACTAATTTTTTCAATGGGCAAAATGGTACTGTGGAAGTATCATTAGTAAGAAATGCTTACGCAGCATTACAAGAACTGTGTGATAGCAAGCATGGTCCCATTAAAGTTACTATTACAATCATAGCGAAGTATGCATTACCTCGTTTATTGTGTAATTCCATGGATACACATGCAAAATTTATTACAAATGTACGTGAACGTACTATAAATTTTTTAAAAGTTTTACTGCATGACCATCTGAGAGATGCAAAAGTTGCAATTATTACATTAATACAGCATCTAATGCTAAAGTGTCCAGATAGACTCGAACCTCGTCAGAAGCAAGCTTGTATACTAATGAAACTTTTTGGAATATGTAATCAAAGCATTATTCTTGAAGCCTTTAAAAATGTAATACTACTATCACATCATAACAAAATACCCTACAGAGTATTTGCTCAAGAAATAATTGGTAAATTATTGGTCAATTCTTTTTTGATGGACTATGACATAAGTGATAGTTTGAAACAAACAACAAGAAGAGTCTTGCTTGCTGTTGTATTAAGTAGATGCATGGATTGTTCAAGTATGGTGAGAGGGAAAGCTATGGCAATAATCGCAGAATTTACAGAGTTTAATGTGGAGGTGGATAAGCTAATATTTAAAACAATTTTTGAAGGATCCGAACCCGATAAAAAGTTTCTTATATTTGACGACATAAAAGAAGCTTTATCTGAAAATACTGATCTGCTACCCGGTTCAAATACTTTATTATCTATGCTAACAGAAAGAATAGAGGATGAAAGAGCAATGATAAGACGGAGCACGTTACAGATTTTAAAAAATTTAATCTTATTATTTCCAACACTGATGAATGAGGTAGTACCTGCAATTAGCCGTCGTTGTAGAGATCCAACGTTAACGGTGCGTCGATACGCTATACAAATTCTCTCTCAACTTTTAGAGAAGTTCCCAGACAATTCTCAACTTTTAGATGAATGGGTGCAAACTGTTATACCGCAAATATTCGATGTTGAGATTAAAGTGCAAGAGAAGGTGCTAGATTATTTACAAGAGTTACTGTTAAATAGAATAATTTCTTCTAAAAGTACTAATAACGTAGCTAACAGTTTACCATGGAAAATTTTAAATACGTTAACTAACTTGAAAATGCGACGACATTTATCGAAAGCTTGTAACTTATGGGTGAAGAATGGTACTATCACTAATTCTGTGGTAAAGAATATACAGACTCATATTGGTACGACTAATAACGTAGGAGCTTGGATATTCCTAGCTGCACTAGCTGAAAATACTCAGCTACCGAATATGAGTAAATATATCACAAATTATAAGGATATCTTTGAAGAGAACAGTTTCTATACCAGTTTAGTCTTGCAGGTTTTAAAATATTCTTGGAAGTCCTTGGATAATAAAGTTTTGGAGGACCTCTATCTTTACCTGTATCAATGTCTACAGCAATTTAAAATTAATTTTGGTTTGATCAGTAGTTGCTTGGATATTATACACAATATTGTACAGTTTTTAAATCCTGACAAAGGTAACAACCTACTGGAGATCAACGTACAGAACTTAATCAAACTGTCGGAGGCAGAAATCACCAAAATTTTTAAGAATGAAAATCAGGCCATAGAAGCGGCACCTCACTATTTAAAAGCTATGTTCACATTAGGACATTCTACACTTTTATCCACTTGTAAAATTTCACCGTTAACATTACGAATTCTGCAAGGTATTTTATTAGAGTGGGAGGCACTGCCAGAAGCTATAAAGGAAATACAGGAATTACAAGCGTCAGCAGTCGTAATTCTTGGTCAACAAGCGATGAGAGATCGTGAGATCGCGAAAGAAGTAGTTCCAATATTTGGTAAATTAATGAGGCAGGAAACGAACTTGAGTTCAGTTTTTCAAATTGCAGTGAAAATAAACACTGCGAAAGCTATGGGTGATATCTGTGTTAGATTCACCGCATTGGTTGAACCATATCTGTCCGATATGTGTGTTAGTATGAAGGATTCCAGTCCACAAGTCAGGGAAGCCATCATGGTAATATTTATTCAACTTCTTCTTGAAGATTATATCAAGATTAAGGGTCCATTCTTTTTTCATATATTGACAATGTTATCGGATCCAGATAATATGATACGGGAACTGACTACCTTTCTCATAGAAGAAAGGTTACTGACAAAAAACAAGACTTTAATATCACAACAATTTTTACAAAGCATATATCATTATAATAATTATAAATCGCAACAAAAAATTTATAATCAAAGGATGCGCGAGAAAGAAAGAAATGCATTAATGCTTCCTGGAAAAAGGAATGAAGATAAACGAAGAACTATATACGATTTCATGTTGGATCACTTGGATCCTCCAGGGAAGATAAAGATACTTGTAAAAATAACTAGTCAGATACTCGGTGGAACATGCGCTAATTCAATTGATGTTAAAAAAGAGGAAGGAGCATATGTCTTAAAGGATGCACTGTACGTGATTAGTAACGAGCGTTTGAAACCATCATCTCTTAACAAACAGAGTGACGATGATCAACTAGAATCTGAAGAATCTGTAGCTCCAGCGATGACACCTGCTGCTAGTGCAATAACTATTATTATTGAAGGAATAAAAAAGCATGGCTTAGAAGTTCTATTACCTGTATTAGTAAAGCTAAAGAAGAAATTATCCTCTTTAAAGTCTCCGTTAGAGAATGAGGTGAAAAGACTTTTAGTTAAAATTTATTCAGAGTATAACAAAGATCAATTATCTAATATATTAAACGAATATCCAAACTTGGAGAAGGAAGTGGATCAATTCAAAAGGTAAGTACCTAAATGTTTAATAACATGCACATTAATGATTGCTAATTAATTATATTCCATTCTAGGCAACTAGGAGAAATTGGTTGTGACGATGAAAGCTCCAGTGAAGAAGAAAATGCACCATGTGATACAAATAATCAGATTAGTCCTTCCAAGATGTCAGATATAAAAAGTTGTGACTTATATCCTACAATTCTATTGGAGCGTGTCTCTATCTCTCAACTTTCGAGTATGAATAGTAATTCTTTGGATACTTGGAATCCCGTTACGTCAACGCCAATTCCACAACAGCATTCACCCTCGGAGCCTGGCCCTAGTACCAGTACACCAAGATCATCGAGATGCTTTGAGTTCGAATTCGACAGTGCTACTAACATATCAAAGGCCAGAAAGATAGATGTGCAACGTAAACTGGTAGAGAGAAACATTTGTCAAATTCAAGATGATAGTGAGTCTGATTAGGATAGATAAAACAAATAGCTTTTATTTCTTTACTTTTATTTAAGCTGCAATTTATAGGTAAAATGGAAAAGAAAAAAAATTACCTACCTCTTAACTTTCGTTGTATAAGAAACGACGTTTGCGTAATGCTATACGTGCGAACTTCCAGTTCTTTTTGTATGTCTGAAACACGCGGACGATTAGCTAGGAGATAAGTACAACATTTGGTATTTGTTTCTTACCTTTATTCGTGTGCGACAACACATTATTATATAAATCCTTTACAATAGACGTGTTCTCGCTAATAAGCTGAATGAATCCACGAATTTCTTCGACCTGTATTAATATGATTTATATGTCTACTGCCAATACAAGAGTCTGTGATATTTGAACGGTGACTTAATTATACGCATGTATCTATGTGAATACGTACTTCATCCAATACTTCCTTGAGTTTCTTATTCTGGGATATTTGGATGTGTACATCTTGTATAAATCTTTTACCAAATGTAGTGCTGTTAGTTTGACACTAAACAAACAAAAATTAAGGGGCGTGTTATAAAGAGTTTATCTGTTTTTTTCATAAAAAGAATTATGCGTTTAGAACAGTATTCGAAAAATGAGAAATTGAGTTAATCTCCCCAAAGAAAATTCTTTTCTTTTCTACAATTAATTTTATGGTGTACCCTAGTAATCTATTATATCGCACAGAAGATAAAGTTCCGTTGAAATCTCTTTAATAAGTGTTGATTTACAGAAGATACTGTTTTCGCAAATTTCTTTAAAAGAAAATAATCTATGCTTACTGTTTTGAACAGCGATCATTTATGTTTCAAAGAAAAATGACTTTCGAAGTTGATAATCAACAACTTTAGTTGCTTTAAGTTTTTGACGAAGTATTTTTAACAGATAACAAATGAAAAGCTTATTTTCAAAGAAATTATCGTTCGTTACTCAATTGATGTTTTATTTCTGTTAATATCGATTCAATTTTGATTTGCGAAGTTTAAGCATTTCAATCCGTGCACGTAGGTAGGATCTTACTAAAACAAATATAATGGTGAACGAAGCTAAGCGGTGCCTTTGAAATGAATGGTGTGTCTCAGAGTGTTAACTCGAATGATTTTCGTTTGGCGTACGCTCTCCGATAATGTTAATTACACCGTGTATAAACGAAAACTGTCACGCTCGAGATTCTGTTGAACAATGCAATACTAACGGCATGTAATTCCGGCATTCGATCACGAACCATGATGATAGTCGTCGACAATCAGCGTGTCACTGATACTTCTTTGTATCTGGATCACGAAGTATGTGTTCTGTTATCTACCTTATCAGTGCAGAAGTGATAATTGATAAAATTCGTCGTGGCGTTGACATTGTAAACTTCTAATTGATACCGTTCAATTCGTGAAGAGTGGCAGAACCGTTTGACACACTTCCCAGCAAAACTGTATTACTTTAACCAGAAGATGCTTTGCATCTGCAAATGGAAATAGGAAATAGGCACTTAGCAGCTGGGTTACAAGGACGTGTTTAACATGAATTATACACCTTTGACTTGTTCTCTCAGCCTTTCTTCAAGTTACCACCGGCGATGCGTGTCCTTCTTTTTCTTTCTGTTAAAGACACAATTTCTTTTTTCCCTAACGTTTTTTATATCTTGACATGAGTGGTGTTTTTCTGTGAACATTAGTATGGGTAGAACATGTATACATATATATGTAAATTAATGCAGACTAACGATATTACTCATAAATCAATGAGTATGGAATTAGAAGTTGGAAAACAATTCTGCAATTTACGTTTTGGACCAGAGAGAACTTTTAAAATTGTTTTTTGTGTCTGTATGTAATGAAATATACATAGTATTTATTATTGCCAATAAGCTGTTGTTTATAGCACTAAATATATATATATTTAGGCACATTTTCTTATTTAATTATAATTTCACGGTTCGACGTACAGTTGAAATTGAAAGTTCGATCAGTAATATTTGACTCATTCTGTGATATCAGACAAAGCAGAAATATTCGATATTTATGTATAAAGTACATATAATTATATGCGTTATCGCGTGTTCCGCACTGTAAATAATTTACTAGCTTGTAAAGCTTCCTTAATTGATAAGTCGATATGCATATATGTACATTTCTATATAAAAGGACATGAATACTTTGGGAAAACAGTAAAGGTATTTATTATATTATACATTAACACCAAACAAACAAGTTATAAAATATCTGATTTAACGTTACATTCAAATAAAACGTTTGAATATCTTATATATCTATATATGATGATAGTACGAGAACGAAAAAAAACTCACTTTCCGTTGTTTCTTTACGTTTCGCGTGTGCGTTAACAATATTATATAAATAAACAAGAAGAAATAGATATTGAACTATTAAATTCGTTAATTTTACATACTCCAAGGCAAATCAATCAGTCTTATATAATTCTTAATTAGAACAGAAACGATTGCAACGTTTAATGGTATGCACTATGTATCTACGAAGGTTGTCGACGTTTTTCTTCTATAACCACCGGTTCGTTACTACTAAGAAAAATATATATATATATATATGTTTCGCTCTACTGTAAAAACAACCTTGTTGCGTAACACGGTCCATTGAAAGAATGAATATTTCCAAAATTCATGTAAGAATATATGTATATATATATATATACAAGAGAATGCGTTCAAGATCTATTTTACATTACAAGAATGGTACTTTTTATATGTCTAACTGTATATACATCGGATAAGTAGCTAACAATTTCAACTCTCAGCTGGTGGAATAGGAATATCATGATAAAACCGGGTCACCGTGGCCCCGTTATTAAGTTAAAAATATTTCAATTATTTCTCCGTTTCGCCCCGGTAAGGATTAAAATGACAAACGGGGTCATCGCGAGCCAGCCAAGAGTCAAGATAATGACAGAGCGTCTGGCCACGCTCACTGTACATACAGCGTGTCAGAAAGATCAACATCTCGGTTACACCTCGAATGCTGTAACGTTCACGAATTATAATAAGATTGCACTTCGTTTTATTTATAAATTATCGAATATAGTACATTCAACATGTGTAGATATATATCTGTATATATATATATATTACATTCTCTTTAGAAATACTGATCTCTCTTTCACTGGTCTATAGATTCCCCCCCTGTTACTCCTGCGAATGCAACGTCTACGTCACTGGACGGAGAGCCGCATTGCTAAGAGGTCCCCGTCCGTGCTCTAACTTTATCCTTCAGGTAATTGGCGACCTGCGTCTGCGAGTGTCTAACAGCTAACTGAAGTGGCGTCACACCCTCTTGGTTCAGCAGCAGAGGGTCCGCTCCTGCTCCCACCAGTTGCCTGGCCACCGTCATTTGTCCTGTTAAGGCTGCTGCGTGGAGCGCGCTTTCACCGTTCTAGAACATATCAAGCCGTTGCATAACCGAGATCCTTCGCTATTCACAAGTAGCCCGGTAACAGCTCGTCGATTATGCATCTCAACATAAGGTGCCTATGAAACCTTTATCAATTCTATCTCCTCCAGCCTCTCGGTAAACGTTAACGCGTCGTCGTATCGAATCGTTTGAAAACTGTCCTCGAACTTACAGGAAGGATGCCGAGCGATGGACGGTACTTAAGCAGTTCCCCGACGACGGCGGTGTGTCCCTTGTGAGCCGCCTTAAAAAGCGGTGTCGCTCCATCCTACAAAAGAAGCTGCAATTAATACTCCTGCACGCATCGCGATGGTCATTCTCTGTTCGGCCGATAACGGAATCAAGATTCCTGGCTGCTCCCTGATCATTGCCGAGACTTACGTGTCTGGTGGCATCGACCTTCGCGCCGGCTTTCAGGAGCCTTCTCACGACGTGATCGTGCCCCATTTGCGCTCCTATCCACAGAGGCGTGGCACCGTCAGTCCGCGCTGCGTCCGTCTTCGCCCCGTGCTCCAGGAGCACCTCCAGGATCCTCACGTGACCATTCTGGGCGGCGATGAAGAGGGCGGTGGCACCGTCCTGGCGAATCAAACGAACCTTCGTTAGAAAAATCCGACCAATGCGAAGTTAAATCAACTGTAACGTTAGGTTTACGGGCATTTATGCTTTAGTGCGTAGCCTCTAGAAACATTGGCATTCATTATACACCTTGGAAATTAGAGGCCTAAAAGCTGGCGATTAACATACATATTCATGTAACAGTATCAGTCGAAACAACATTTGCTAAACAATGTAAATCGAGCCTTAACACGTTGACCGTCATGATGGCCACCGAACCTGAGCGTTCAAACCGCTTGAAAGCAATTACAAGGACACCGATGTCGAATCAACGTATTTAGTAACATAAGTAACTGAGTAACGTAACTCGAGAGCTACGGTATCGAATCATTAACCCTCTATGAACATCATTTCGACGAAATGAGGTGTTCATATTTGGAAGACTGAGTCGCAAATGATTTAATTACTGCAGAGAGATCAGCACATAGTTTCCCTTTTTCTATTAATTAAGCAATTGATATAGAATCTTCATCCAAAGGGTTATTCATTCGTTCTAATGCCGTTTGCCTTTCTTACGGAGGAAAAGTCATTCGAAAATCTTCCTAGCGGTGAACGTGTTTCGCCGCAAATGGTCCTTCGACGTCGATAGACGGTGCGCCAAGGTGTCCGGCGAATTCCGTCGAACCGCCGATGGTCAACATGTTCGATCATGCACCGGTTGAGAAAAATCGCGTGACCGCGACGCGACTTTGTCGTGGCTAGATGGACAGGTTGATCGCCGTTATAGAATTTCTGCGGTTTGTAATGGATAGGTATTATGTCTCCTGGCCTGACACGGTTCGGGGAACACCGGGAACTCCGTGGAACGCGTCCCCGACCGCTCTGTCCGGGGGACATCGCCGATCGCCGGGCCGGTCGGATGGAAACGCGTCCAATAAAGGAAGGTGCACCGGGACGCGTCGCTTGACGAATGGTTTTTCGTCGACGCTCCGAGGCAAGGAACGGCCCAGTGAAAGTATGGGTTCCTGGCGACCGGACCCAGTCCGCGTCGCCCTGAACCGCTACTCCTTTCAGGGATACTCGACACACGCATCAGTACTTTCTCTCCTTTACCGTTGACTTAGCTGCACCGACTTGGAAGCTCTTTTTATCAGCTCGAGAATTTTGGGTGGACTGTTCGCCTGATGCGTTATCGGATCCTCTGTGAAGATAACTACAGCAGTGTTAGCACATTCGAGACCGGTGAGCTAGTAAATACGTCATTCGAACTACTACAGCTGAATACCGGTGACGTACTGCGTTATTTATAATTTTTTTGGAACAATGCCTGTAACGTGTTTCCGCGTTGTTTTATATGTATTAAAAGAATACCGGTTAACACTTAGCCAACCGAATGGGATCTCTCACTGTTCTTTTACCAACGCGTTTCCATTTTTCTTTAGCTTTTTTTTTGTTATCTAACAAGTCTTGAACTGGAGACGTCGTCTGCTGACGTTGGTAGTCAAAATAATATTTAGTATAGAGAAAAGTAAAAGTATATCTATCGTGGAAAAGCTTGCATTTCTTTATATATAGCATCAGGTGGCAGGACCAAGAAGATTGTCATGTTTAAAGTATATTGACACTAGAACTACCAAGCTCAAAATGTTCTGAAATTTCTCTAGAAACTAAATGCTACTGAGACTTCAATTGATTTGCAGTTTCTGTATTACTGAATCAATATCTCTACCTTCTCAGAGAAGCTTCCGTTATCTTCTCAATAACTGGAAAAAAAGGAATCTTGAATGGGTCGTTTTGACGGTAATTCTAGCGCCGACGTAGAAACTATTTCCGTCACGCGTCTATTTCACGTCAAAGCGTTAATCCTACTTAACCCCTGGCATCGTGTACTTCTTATATTCATACGCACTCGAATGTCAGTACTCCGGTGCTCAACTGTATACTTTGAGAAACTCTATGCAGCCGGGAATGTGTTAACAGACGGTAACCAGAATAGCGCCGATCAAACAACGCGCTTCTGGTTCCTCCGTAGATACGTACGGTGTACACTGACAATAAGTAAATGATACTATTCTTCGGCGACGCTCGAAGGACACCGCCGGGCGTGTTGGAACAGATGGAATGCCACAATGCGACAGGCGCGTTGCTCTCGCTGTCAATCAGCCGCGCGTATTGCCGTCACGGTGCGCGCGGACCGTCCCGCGACACACTTGCGATAACGCGGAACAAATTCGAAAGGAGCGTGCGTGCGCGACGCGGCTGTAAAATGTAAAATTCATGGGCCGCGCGCCGGTCTCGCGTGCACGCCGGACACGACGGGAATGTGACATTTAAATGCCGATTGCGCGCTGCTAATTATTCGGGGGTCGTGCGTGACCGGCATTCGGACCGGCCGCGCCGTTTCGACTTTTCGACCGAATTGTCGGGCCGCGCTCGCGGCTGATCGGCGAGCCGCTATAAAAAGAAACGTTACACGTCCTTTTAATTACAAACTCTGCTTTTTTACGAACGCGGGATCCGCTTTACCGTTACTTCTTTAGATATGCTTAACGCTAGAACCACCGAACGGGTTGAATTCAATTGAATGATTTCCATAGTTATTTAAATTAATCGATTCCGATCAACCGAATCCTTGCATAATTAATCAGAAGATTAACGTCAGAAGTTAAGTCAGAAACACGCAGAGTTACCGGAAGTGAAACTCGTTTCTATAAACTTGTAATTTATAATTCTATATCCTCGTTGCAAGTTGTCTATAGAAAAATTGTCGGCGCTCGGTGGTTCTAGTGTTAATAAACTTAATAACACCGGTTATCGGTGGTTCAAGCGGCACACGTGATACCGCGTGAATCCCTGCGCCAAGCGAGTGTTAAATCTTCCAAATCCTCCTCCATAATTCAGGGTCTTGCTAAAGTGAATCCTGAATGATCTTCATTAAGCACGCCGGTTAGCTGGCCCAAGTTGATTGCCATCTATTAAACGGACAATTAACACTGTGAAAACAAGACGAAAGTTAAAGATGCGGAACTACCTTCATGTGCGCGTTCGGATTGGCACCTCTCTCGATCAGGCCTTCCACCACGTCCAGGTGACCGCACTGGCACGCGACGAAAAGTGGGGTGCCGCCGTCCTGCAAATCGCGCCACAAAAATACCGTCTAGTTTTCGTCTTGCGGTTTGCCGATTTCATTTTCGATCGTCTGTTAGGCCCGATAGACACTACCGGTCACTCTCGATTCAACTAAATATTCTTCAGTTATCTAGAATGCATGTGTTCACACTACATGGTGTCGCGAAAGGAATGTTAGCACACTTTGTTGGCTGGTAAAACTCTGAATTTTAGTTTCTTTTAAAATTTCCTTTTATCGTGGTAACATTTTATCACAGCACCTTGTATAAATAATTCGATCTTACAAGCAGAGGGCCAGACAAAAATTTGTTTCTAAATGAAACCCTGTGGACGTTATGATATATCTAGAAATGAAAAATCCTTATGGCTCTTTTGACAATGGTCCTCCTCGACTAAAATGAGTTTTAAATTTGTATGTTAAATCTCCATGCTTGGAATTCGGTTTTCTCCGTTTCCTTTGTTTCCTTTGAATAATCTCTAGATAACTTGTATTTTGTTATTGTAATATCATTTATCGTCTTATCGCAGTAACGTAAACTTGAAGCTCATTTTCTTCGAAAACGGAGGACCATTGTTAAAAGAGGGTTTCATGTAGAAACAGATTTTTATGTCTGGCCTTCTTCTTGTCAGATGGATGTCGCTCTATGTTTGTTTAATTTAAAACATCGATCTTACGATCTGTAGCATTTATCGGGCCTTAGTCAACTTACTATGCTGCACGAGTCCACGGTAGCGCCGTGTTCCAGTAAAAGGCAGGCGATGTCCATGTAGCCGCCCTGGGCAGCGAAGAAGAGCGCCGTGGTGCCGGTCTGGAAGCAGAACGTGGCGATAAAGCGTCGAAACTCTCGGTAGAACACATGAAAAATTTTACGACCCGGACAGACATAAAGTTCGACGTTGCTTTATTGCCTCGGATTTCAACGCCGGGGAAACTGGGACAAACGAATTTGTCGTGCGGCCACGACCGCTTTCGGCCAATGCATCAGGAAACGCGCTGCTTAACCCTTTGCTGTTCTATGTTCAACTAGACACGACGTTCAATTAATTTGAATATAGTAGTAGCAAAAACACTTAACGGTAAATATATTAATTGCTTATAGTTCAATAATATGTAACTGGTTATATATTATTACTATGTAGAAGTTATATATTAATGAACTATAAGCAACCATAGGCAACTATAGGTAGAACTATAAGTAATATAACTAGCTATATATTATTACTATATAGCAATTATATATTATTGAACTATTAACAGTTAATATAATTACCGTTAAGTATATTTGCTACAGATTACACTCGACTTAACACTAGAACTACCAGATGAGTCAGACTGACCAATCCCTAATTTCTTCTGTTACAATTACTACAAAGACATCTTTAACAATCAATTAAAGAAGCTGATTGAATAACACCTGAAATACAAGTCAACCGAAATCTTAATAAATCCATACCCATAGCTTCTATATAAAGAAATTTCAAAAAGTTTCAGAGCTCGGTAGTTCTAGTACTAAAGAACACGGATGCGAATTCCAAAGTGAAAGAACTTGGACCGCAAAGGGTTAACGCTGGAATCACCTGACAAGTCAAAACGGCCCCAAATAGTACATACTTTCATCGGAATCAAAAGACCGTTGCATTCGAAGATTCTAAACGCGTCGTAGATTTCTACTTTCACAATTTTCGAGAAGACTCCGAATCTTCAGCAACCCGAACGTGACGATCGGTACCGTTTCGATGTCGTGCGATTCGGATAACGAACGTCGACTCGGAAGGAGCAAAAGAGCGCACCGTGAGATCTCCTCTAGGCAGCGCCTAAACGCGCAGTTTGTTCTACATTCTGTTTAAAACGAACGCATCTCGTACGAGCACGCCAATTAATTCCCATCGTCCAGGGGAGAAAGAGAGAGGGCGCAGCGACGGGGGGGCCGGGCGTCGTCGATTTATAATGAACTTGTTACTTCCTGCCGCAATCCGGTTTCCAGCGCACGCTATTTTAACGCGGTACAACAGGCTCGCGTGCCGCCCTCGCGGCTCGCGCTGCCTCGAAATTGTTAGAAACCGCTCGGCGAACTTTGGGAAATCGCCTCGACCGACCAGTTCGCGTAGCCGGAACCGAATCGGAGAGGGAGACGGCGGTGTCGATCGGTTCGAGTCACGGACAAGAGTGGGCCCCGAATAGAAATCCGCGAAACTCGATACGCGGCGACGATACGTAACGACCAAAAAGTGCAATCGAACCGGTCGAAAGTCTGCTCGGCGAACGAGGCCAAACAAGCGCCGCAACGGGCAGGCGGGCGGGATCAGTGTGTCACGAACGCCCACGCACGATTTTCGAACTGATATTGCTCGTCTACCGCCTGATGACTAGGATCGCGGGTCTAATTGCTCGGTTTTCGTCTTCCCTTGCGTTGTCTTCGGTGCTAACCTGTTACCAGGAGAACTACGAACCGAGGGTTCCAGTTCTCCTGTTTCGCAGTTATTGGTATTCGAAGGTGTTGACACTAGAACGAGCAGTGAACCGATTTTTAAACATTCTTTTATAGAAAGCATAGAAATTGATTAAGATGTCGGAAGAAGTATTTATTGCTTTCAATTACTATGAAAGAATAATTGAGGGATCATTAGCAGTCATCTGGTAGTTCTAGTGTTGATCTCTTAACTACCGTACGCCATTAAGGCGGCTCTCGCGTGTACCATCTTTTGGAACGGTGCGCCATTAGAGCGGCCCAATTCTTTCTCTGTTATTGATAGTCGTGCACATTATAATCTAATCTAACGTAATTGCACAGAAAAGTATATCAGCCTTAAATCGCAGTGATATTTATGGCATGCAGACCGCGGCAAACCTTGCCGCACCGAGGTATAGCTTCGCGACTAGCCCGGACGTAGCTAAAAGGTTAAATTGTTTGGAGAATAAATAGTTTCACTTGGATGCTATACTGATTACACGGAGAAACCGAGGAAAGTCTGATTGTTATAAGTTGTATACGGACTGCATATTGATCCTATTGAACCCTTACTACGGACAAAACGCATCGCGATAGACCCCTGTTAATAGGCCAGCTAGCCATCAATTGGCAGACCAATCCAATCAGCAGCTCAACAGAAAATTATAACAAACTTTACGAGATTGCGAATGAAAAGCGCTTCAACAATATTGCGAATACAAGTTGAACGCGCTATTAACCCTTTGCGGACGAATATTCTTTGCGGTTTCCAACCTTTACGCTACTACGCCCCCTATCTTTTAACAGATATAATAATATAGACACGTTTCAAATAATAATATCTATAGCCTCAGTAAATAAATACAAATTATATATCGAATGTCTATACTGATCTCTTACTGTTTCACTAATTAAATAAATCATTTGTTTACAACATAGTATTCCAAACACGAAAGTTTGACCTCCTCGAAACGTCGACATTCGTTCTCAAAGGGTTAACACATGCGCAACGACCCGGTTTCTTCCAACGAGGCCCAGGAAGGCTAAAAGGTTGGACAACCCTGCGGCAAACGAACGATACCGTACCGTGCCGCGCGATCCGCGTTGCAGGCGGACCGCGGCGACGGGTTTCGCAAGCGTTCCCCGCGGATCCACGTGAGCCGTTGCACATGCCGCGCCGGTGGTTGCATATCACGGCAGACGTTGCCGTTGAAAACGCGCCGGGAACACGCGAACGCGACGCAACCCGGCTTGCTCCGCTTCGGCGACCTTGAAACGTAGAGACCACGTTGCCACGGAGGCTACAGCACGCCTCAGAACGCGTGGCCCCCGTTTCGGGGATGATTCGACCTAGCCTGAGGGGTTGGCAACCTTCTCTTCAGCGAAATGACATTTTTCTGTACGTTCGTTCGAATCGTTCAGAGTTCACACTGGTAGAAAACATTCAATTGCAATGATTTGAGAGCACATAGAATTATTTTGGTAAACTACCGCAAGGATAAGAGAGTATAAATAAAACATAATGAATTGACATTATTTTAGTTAACTAAGGTTGCCGACCTCTTATCTAGCTGATAAGGTTAACACCTGGGAAACATTCACAACGTCATTGGAACTGCGGATACTTGTCCAAATGCGGATTTTTATAAGCCAATTTATGGAGACGATATGATCCATGGAAACAATATGAGAATGAAGCGGTAGGTCAGTTAAACTGACTTTTGATAGCTTCTTCGTGAGAGCCACAAGTGTAGTTATTATTTCAATTGACTTGTATATGAATTTAGGTATTACTCAATCAGTTTCCGCAGTAATTTCTCAGACAAGCATCTGTGCGTTTTCAATCATTCTAAAAGAAGAAATCGGGAATGGGTCATTTTGACTCATCCGGTAGTTCTAGCATTAAAATCGAGTTTCGCAGTTGAACCGTTGCCCAGATGTTATGAAACGCACGCTACACGCTACGCAAAATACATGCTCGGCTATCTAGGCCGCGGTTTTTAGAAACTCTAGGGGTCTCCGCGGTTAATTGGCCGGCGTGAATCAATCCGCAATTAGCCCTTGCTCGCGACTTCGGCGACGGATCGCGAGAGAGAACTCGATGGAAAACGCAGCGACTTTTCTCAGAAGAAATTACTATCGATTTCATAGAATTTATAGTACTAACGTGAAGATTAACTTATAATTCATTCATTCGTATATTTACAATTATATTTATATCAACCCTTTGCGGACGAACGTCGACATCTCGACGAGATGAAATGTTTAAATTTAGAAGACATGGATAAATTATCTAATTAGTCGAACACCAAGAGATCAGCACGTAGATTTTTTCTAGTAATTAAGTAACTGATATATAATTTAGCTTCATATGTTGAGCGTTTTGTATATTTCCAAGAATCCTCGTCCGCAAAGGTTTATCATTTATAATCGTAATTATATTCACAATGAATGAATTAATTTATATAAAATTTTACAGCGTTGAGTGAACACTGTTAAAAGCCAAACATATTCCTCTAAAATTCAGTAAGTTCATTTATTTATTTATTGCGCGTTTTCACTGGCGAGCGTGTCCGATCGGAATCACCGCAGAAAGCTCCGGCCGATCTGCGACCGAACGTTTCGCCGCGTATCGGGCGATCGTGTAAACAGAGCGCAAAAAGTTTCTAAAAATTAATCTCGCGAACTTTCGTTGCTGATTTCGAGGATCGCACACGCCCGATCTTCTCGTCGTCGGATAGAAATCCGATTGCCCGTTCGAGTAATCGGGCCGCGATCGGCCGCCGACAGACGCGAAAAGAACGATTCGCCGTTAATTGCGGCTCTCCCCGCGCGCGATCTCCATCTCGTCTACTTTTCATCGGTTGACTCTCTCCCCGACGTCGGTAATTGAGACTCCACTCGAGAATTCATTAAAACGAAACGGCGAAAGATCGGCCGATCGTGTCCGTCACCGACGGTACCGCGGACAACGCTAGAACCACCGAATCGATCAAAGAGGATCGAAATCTCGATAAACGTATTCTTATAATGGAGAATATATCTGAAAATATGAGAACTTATGTTATCCCGCGGATCTTGATGCAGTTATTAGTTACATGAAACATTTAATCGCTTTTATGACGTTTGTTGGGAAAATCGTTGTCTATCGTAATTTTTTCCATCTTCCTATTATTCTGTATATATTTCTAGAGATTTAACACTAGAACTACAAGATGGATCAAAATGACCCGTTCCTAAATTCTTCTTTTCCAATCATTGAAGAAATAGATTCTTTAAGAAATTTCGAAAGAGATTGTTTTAGCAATACGCAAACTAAGTTTCGAGTGATGGAAGTCTCGACAGATGCACTTTCGAGGTTTCTATAGAAGAATTTTGGAAAGTCAACTTGGCAGTTCTAGTGTTAAACTCTCCGTTTAATAAATTTGATTCTACCGCTCGGTGGTTTCAGCGTGAACCGCTAATAAAACTAATTCTGGAGCCCGTGCCGCGACGATTGTGCAACGGGTCCGACGATTTTCACAGATCCGACGGTGTTGTTTGCGTAATTCGTGGCTCTCGTCGGGCGTCATCGCTTCGATTCGATCTCGGAAACCGGAAAGGAACCTGGTTCTTTTCACGGCGACCGCTAAGCTTTCGACTCGTTTACATACTCGGTCGCTAAAAATATAAAATCAAGATGAACAAACGCGTGAACACGTGGCTCTCGGGAATTTCGCGTGACGCGTTTCTCGCGTTGCTAGAAGAGCGATCGTTATCGGGGAATGTTTCCAGTGTTCTTCTGCGAATCAAAGCGTTTCATCGGAACCTACTATCGTCCGAGATACGAAAGGCATTGCCGCTTTCTGCGTTGACTGTCGCGGCGGTTACCGATACAGTAATTCCGGTTTAAATGGCTCGATCTCGTTTCAGGTCTAATTACCTATTCTTCTTATACCTATGTAGGTATTTGCTTTCGCAGATGTATTTCTTATTCTTAAGTGTCAATGATATTTACGATGTAATAGTTCTTTTTGGAAAAGTAGGCCGTACGTGTCCCACTTAGCCTAAGCGAATTGTCGTATTAAAATGTTTGACAGTGTAAATAGAGCATAGTAAGTCTATTTTTCATTTAGTATTTGGTAATAGTATTTTCAGTATGTAGTACCTAGTATTTACTAATAGTATTTTCAGTATAATGTATCTATTATTTACTAATAGTATTTTCAGTATATAGTACCTAGTATTTACTAATAGTATTTTCAGTACATAGCGTCTAGTATTCAGCATTTTGAATATATAGTACCTAATATTTACTAATACTATCTTAAATATATATCACCCAGTATTTAGTAACAGCATTATAAATATTTATCATTCAGCACTTAATAATAATATTTCTAATATTCAGTATCAGACCTTCCACCTACCACTATCCATTTATCTCCGCTACGAAAGAATACAACCGACGCACAATAGCCTCAACATCGTCGCGACAGTCAACGCCTCGAAGAATCCAGCGGCTCGGCGCGTTAAAAAACAAAGAAAGAGAAGGGAAACCCGTGGGCCGCTGATTCCAATGGGACCGATGATTCAATTAACGAATCCCGCGACTCTTAATGGAAGTCCCGGCCGGATGTCGCCAGAAAATCGTCTGCGGACATCGCGTACACGGATTTGCATACAATACCGCGGCTCGCGACGACACGGGACACCGAAGGGACGCCCCGGCTCGGCGATAAATCCTCGGAGCCACTTAAAAAGGTCTGCCCGTCCGCTTCCTGGTGCTCGATACCGAAGCTTTTCCTTTTGTTTGACCGGATGAAACCTCCTTAACACCATCCCATTCAAAATCACCCGTCCCCAATTTCATCTTTCTACAATTATTCAAAACATAAACGCTTCTCAAACGAAACTCCTGAAGAAATCAATCCAACACCATGTAAACTGAATTATAAATCAATTAGAATCCCCATAGAAACGATTCGACTGTGGTTCTCGTGTCAACCACCAAACGAACCGACTACCTTCTACTCAATACAAATTCCAATACATTCACAGCCTTATCACAATTCAGTTTACACACTGAATCGATCAGCATACACGGAGACAGAAACCGAGCTCGACGCCAACCGGTGAAAAACTCGCGTTTCCGCGAGCGCGCGTAGATCCGACGATTCGGTTATCGCCGCGGCGGCCGCCGCGCGATGGAGATCGCCCCGATAAATATAGAACGTTATCAGCCGGCCGTTTCCCCCGCGCCGGCCGCTCGTACTCTCGCGGATGAGAAACGTCGCGTCGCTGACTCGCCGGTTATGAATATTTAACAAAAAAACGGGGCGCCGAGATAATTGGCAGGCTTGAGTTACGATACAGCCGGACGGTTCACTCGTCTTTCGGTGGAAAGAAATTCCTCCGGAGGTTCGTAGATATACACGCAGCACTGGGAACGGCAAAAAGGAGTTGCTGGAGAGGTAGATAGTGAAAGGCGGCGGTGCATCCAGCTCGCTAAGGCCGCGATCGCAGCTTGGAAATTCTTTCGGGAACGCTTCGTGATTTAGGATCTTCGGCTTTACAGGATGATGGATGGTTACTGCGCGCGTTCACGGCCCGAAACAACTCGGTCTACAACAAAGGCGATTAGAACGTTACACCTAATGTCATGGATCTTTTGATAAGACGCTCTAGATAAGCGAACGAGAGAGTATACGCGTTCCTCGAGCTGCTTGGACCGCTCTTTTCGTTCGACGTCGGCTTGGTATTCACGTGTGCTCGGAGTATCGATCACCAACGCTGCAACTAACCGAGCGAAATCGAGTTTCTATTTTCCTATGGAAACTGTAAGAGTTTATTCAGATTTTTCGTCGGCTGTAGCTTGGGGATACTTGAATCGATCTATTCGAGAGTTTCGTTTTGATATTCGATTATGGTACTAACCCCTTAATATGTGAGTGGTTGTTTTTGCTGCAATTATTCGTAATACCGTGACTGTATCGTATATGAGTAGAGCGTTTTTCGAATGTCTTCCAGAAAATGATTAAAACGCTAACCCTCTGCACTCTATAGTGTTCACTGCGGTACTATTCACAGTACTAGATATTGTAATAAACAGATTTGAAGAGACTACCGCAAGATCATCGCTACATATGTAAATTCTGCCCTAGAAATGGAAATGAATCTACTATTAAAATGTATCTTTCAATTTCCGCTACGGGTTCTGTGATAAAAGTTTGACCTATTTTAATGTACCATAAATACTATAAAAACCTACGGTACTATAAATAGTTTGACCTTTGTTAACCCTTAACGGAAGTACTTCAAGTTGACTTAGCAAAAGACACCGTTCATTGTAAACATTACAACAATAACAACGATCAATATAATAAAATGATCTCTGCCATACGCGTCAAACGTCACGTCAATCATCAATGACTCACATTTCCGAATTACTTGAAAATAATTATAACAAGATACTCGACATCTAATCAAAATGCTCAATAACCTAAGTTGATAATAGTATAATGCAAAGATGGTAACACGAAACAGTGAATCATTGTTGCTACTTCTTAGCTAAACAGAATAACTATCCAGAAAACTGGTCATTTCCGTGGCACTTGATTTTAAGTTAAGGGTTGAACTGCATCGAATCAATATCCACAGTGAAAAACCAGCGTGCTTTCCGATCGCGAATCGCGAAAGGCAACGCTAATTGGTGTTTTCCAGTGGAACGAAGATTTCGCGTAGATAGCCTGGCAATTCCAGCGGGAATCGAGCCAATCCGCGACGTCCGCTCGGCGGTCGCGAAACTGCATTTCCGACGAGTGGGTAACGGGGTTGCAAGGACGCGCGGCGCGGCGCGGCGCGCGTGCTAACGCGGGATTCATTCATTCCCGGAGTTCATTCACGTGCCGGGTAGACCACGCGTGGCCAGGACTTACCAGCCTTCTGGCATTAGGATCCGCCCCTTGCTGGAGCAATTCGGTGACTGCCTCAATGTGCCCTCCGGCGGCGGCCAGTATTAAAGGAGTCGTCCCGTCCTGAAAGGAGGAAAGGGGTCAGAGAACCGAATCGATGCCCGATTTCGTTCGCGGGAGCCGGTCTATTTTTCCACCCTGAACTGTAATAAATTCGAACTGTTGCCAGGGATCTAGGCACCCTGGAGCGACCTAGCCTGCTGCCTTATAAAAAACAGACCTCCCTACGGAGCGTCATGAGTTTAATCGAATTTATCTTGATATCGGACGAGTGATTAAGAGTGTGCTCGTGTCTCGTTACGGAGAGATTTGGAAGACGATAGATATTGGATAATTACCTGTATTGTAGTCGTAGTTATAGGTATTAATGTAATCGAATGGACATCTGAGATTTGAATATCAATAAGATGATTGACGGTTACGCAAAGCATTACACGTAGTTGAGTCTATGATTCAATACTTTCATTGAATCGATTCATTCGGTGTCATCCAAATTAACTAGTACAGTTGTCGATCTGATTTGTTATGACCTATCTTTCTCAAATCTTTTCTAAGTTAATCTATTTCCTCTAATTGACCCATCGCATCGACTCCCAAATCGGAACACCACTCCGTCGCGCTCCTCCCTTTCATAATTTCGTCGGAATCACGTCATCGCCGCATCCGCGGTTTCCACGTAATGACGGGACAATTGTTGGGCGGGTCGCTCAATCGTCGCAATTACGCGGCGACGTGTATACAGTAGACGGGCTGCTTAACGGCGTGATTAATACGCGCCGCCGTTTCCGAGTCACCGGCGAGGCGCCGTTTCCCCTCTGAAAATACGGCGGGGTCGATCGAATCGCGAATTCGGAAATCATCGGCGGAGACGGTGTCCCGCGGGCCGGCGAAGTGGAGCGGCGCGACGCGTGCGTCCAGGGTGATCTAATGAACCACTTTCGCGGCGAGCGGCAACGTTACGCAGGCTACCCGTTCTTTCGGCCATTTGCATAACTAGTCGGCTGACCCTTGAGCAGATTGGCGCCTCGTTAACGCTACAACTGCCGGGCGTTTAATATGATTAATACGTTAGTCGCTTGATGGCCAATGCGATTAAGTCGATTTTTTGGTATTTCTTAATTGTCTATTTTAATGGAACTAATATTCTCTGTGGTTACTCGAGGATTTATTTGTTTCTTCGGAAGATCCTTTTATAGTTTTAGAATGTGTTGCAAATAAAATATTGATTCTTACAATTTTTATTTCTTGGAATAAACCGCATTGGCTTTGAGTGATACATGTCCTTAACACTAGAACTACCGAGTATTTATTAAGATTGATATACAATAGCTATGAAAATTATAGCATAGATTATTTTCAGCTTCTTCAGACGTTCACTATAGTATTCAAGTGGAGCTATTTATTCTCAAGGTCATTCCGAGTGTCTAATGCCTTTAAGATATCAATCATTGCGAAACAAGGGAACCGAAAACAGTCATTTTCGGTACGGTAGTTCTAGTGTTAACAAGGATCTGTCGTAACCGATCATCACCAGGGACATGTGTCTTTCTAGTTCACATAGTTTCTCATATTAAAATATGAGAAATTAGGAAATGTAACCAACAGAAGACTAAGTGAAAAAGATAATGGCTAAACTGAGGAATTAGGATGATCAGTTTCCGAGAGATCTTCTACCAATACTTGGGTAGCTGGTAGCAGAGACACTAACTAGTATCAGTACATAACCGTATCAACGAATAACAAACTAGAAAAATATGAGAAATTAGGAAATGAAACCAACAGAAAACCGAGTGAAAACGATGCAAGCTAATTGATCATCTTGATTCCCAGTCTAGCCATCGAGAGATCCCCAGCAGTAATTGGGCAGCTAATAGAAGAGTCACCGACTGGTTACCGCTCACGGGCAAGTGTCAGGTCCGAATACCATCAAGTATTTTAAGCGCAGAGTAGCGTCTAAGACTGATAAGTTGTTTGCCAGAGGTAAACAAGTGAGGCACCAGGCATCCGAATACTCTATCTACCATTCTATCCGTATCACGCTCTAATAAGAGTCGGGTAGCCGGGAGGCGCTTGAACATTCAAAAGATATGCAAGCTTGAGTTTTCACCGGGCACCAAGAAGCATACTGGAAGTCTCTTGTTAAGTCCCGAGCGCGATAGAGGATGCCGATCGATTTTATACCTTGTCCTTGCAGTCGACGTGGACCCGCCCGGAATCCAGGAGGACCCGCAGACGTTTGGCGTCGCCGCGCGCTGCCGCCAAGTGCAACTCCACGTCCCACGGAGACTCTTTCTGCAAAAGATACAGAGCGAACGTGAACGGGTAGCCAAGCACGCGTTGATTACACTGATCAACGAAATTTAACTGTCCCCTCGTCGCAGAAGGTTTCAAATTTACTATCCACTTTCGCTGCTGAACTCGTGTATTTTACTATCGACAACTTGGACGCGAGACAATTTTCTATTCTATTCCAAGTGGAAGCTTCATTTGACGATAATACATTGATAAGTTTGCTTTGGTCCGTAATAAGCAACGTTGATTGCCGTTAAATTGAGAAATCTTGTCTCAATTGTACGGCAAGGGGTTGATGAGTGATCTTAATAGTGTCTCATGCTGAATTCATTTTCAGCTGTACACGCAATTTCTTCCGACCAAAGCAATTTAACGAACACGTTTAACCTCTTGCGTTGGAAAGACGTGTCACGCACGAGACGTTTTCGTTACCAAACCGTCAATGACGTTATAAGCATCGAAAGTCTTGTTGCAACATATTAGACTGGAATGAAATAGGTAGCAACAAGATTCTTCGCGCAAAAGTTTACTGAATTTCTGAACTGATTTCCAGGAATACACAGGCTGTTTTCCACGTTCCTTGTTTCTGCTTTTCCCAGTCCGCGGGCATTCGTACGCGACCTATCGACTAAGCAATCATCATCGGGAAAGGTGGGCGAATCGTGTGCGTCCGACTGCAACTGAGATCGTTCCAGCGGAATTGCCTTGCCGATTTCACAATTTCACCCGTCCGCGCGTATTTTTCAGTTCTCTTCGTTAACCGCGGGCTATCGAATAATCCTCGAACGTGCGGGGTCACTGGGAACAATCGAAAATATAGGTATTTGGCAGTGTAAACGAGATCGAGCCATCTCGCCGGGAATTAGCCTAAATCCGAAACGCGCGTTCCTCTCCGTTGAAGATTTTTCTCGCGCGTCTAACAAGACGCAACGAACTGAAACTTGTCCGTCGATTTTGAGATAAGTCCTCGACCACTGTCCTCTTATCGAAAGGCTCCCTCGATCCAGATGTTTCACAACTGATATGCCTACCCTTTAAGCGAGCTGGGTGTACGAATGGTAACATCCCTGAGATTGTTCAGCCGCCTTCTTTTAAAAATAATCCGTTGCCGACGCGTTTTCGGTGGAATCGACACAATGAACAACGTTTCCGCGGCGGAAGATCAGTTTCTCGGAGTTCTTGAAGAGAATGAGCTGATTTCAACTAACAACGAAATATTTGCTAATAATGAATGTAATAAGATAATCAAAATACAGTGATGACTATTCAGAGTCAATTATATAAACAATGTAACTCGAACAACTAATAACATCAATAATCCATAATCACTACAAGCAACATAATTATTAACACTATAACTACTATCAGTCGAAATAACTTTTTTTTAGCAATTATTGATACCGTCAAAGCATTGAATATTCGAAATGATTTTGAAAATAGTTTCACTTGAATACTATGATAAATCTCTGAAGAAATTGACAATACAATTTTCATAATTACATATCAATCGTATTAAATGTTTTATAGTTTCAGCGTCAATTATCAAGTTTAATTGCCAAAGAGCATTTCATTGTTACCAGAAAATCAGCTCGTCCCCGTTTATTCAAACGTTACAGGCTCGCCCCGGTTAAAGTTACGATCCTGAATCCTAGTATTCAAATCGAGCCGTCGACGCAGAAGGAAAAGAAGAGCTGTGCGTGAAGTTTCTTTCGCGATGAATATTTTGTTTTTATTTTCTTCGGCTCGCGGCATAAATCGCGAGGCGGTCGCCGGAGTGCAACGTTCCGCTTTTTGTTCCAGCGACGTGTGTTTGTAGGTCGTCGCGGTTTGAAACGCGATCGATGCGTCGACGGAGCAACTGAATCTCGCATGATCTGGATTGATCATTAGTAATCGGTGATCGAGCGACCTACGATTATGCGTTGACCCGTGCGTGCGGGGAATATTCGCTGATCAAGGTCACTCGGTGGTTCCACCTCTTCCTTGTTACTCGCTACTCCCACCTTTTGCTTCTTGTTTTCGCTTATTGGACTTGAAAAATATTTTTCTAGTCTCGACGACTGTGTATACACGTGTGCAGAGCGAGCGAGCCAACCGTTAGCCAATTGTATGAAATAAAAAGTAGAGAAAAGTAATGCATTAATACATGTATAATTGATTTTGGAAATTTCTCTTTAAACGAAAACTGAATTGAATTGTAGAATCTATTTTACTTTATTACTGGTGTAGCCTGATATATCCAAAATGTGAGATTCATAAAATGGTGTACCTTTGAGATGACCTTTGTTAACACTACCATGTCTACATAACCAAACGAATTCTCTATATTTCATAGCAATAAATCCAATAACAAAGAAATTGATTTTAAATATAAAATGTGAAAAGTCAATCAATCGCATTAACCCCTTGGCCTATGATTTTTCTCAATTCTGATCGATATGGCTACTTTGTCATTAATAATTTCTTAGAAAAAGAGAAAAATTCTAAGCATACGTTATGCCTATATTTCCTTTTAAGTATAATAGTTGATTACAGAGAAATGATATTTACTTTGAATTCGAATGAATTAATATATATATTTGTTGAATAATGTTGAAAATCTCTACCAAGGGGTTAACGATAAAATGTTTTAAAATTACAGTCGAGTTGATTTGGTCAATCTCGTTTACCTGTCACTTAAATTTACCCGTAAGTCGTTTATGTATAAGGTGTTCCAAACGGAAGTTACTTGGCATCGAGTATGTGGAATGTGCTTTCACTTAACACCAAATAACTTTCGTCTCGAATCCTTTTCGATACGATAAACAGTTTACAAATAAACTTTTGTGATAGAACGAAATCGTACACCCCGTGTATCTGTAACCGATAATCCCAACCTGTTATCGAGCCAGTGAATCCGTTGTTCGTGTCCGATTTCAGTTATCTAACGGGCTAAATTCAAATTTTATCGTTCCCGCGTGGACGCCGGGTACAATTCGATTCACGTTGACGGTCTGGAAACCTGAATACGTTAACATCAATACGCGTGACAACGCAACAAACGCCGTAAGATCAACAGGGCAAGGCTCTTGAAAATTGATTACCTCGAATGACGTCAGTTTCTTGTAAGATTTTCCTGATCTCACCTAGTTCCGTGTCGGTTCGTGCGAAAAGCCACGTAACCGATCACAAATGTCGCTATACTCCATCAATTAATTTTACTTCCGTGAATACTTGTCGGTTACGCGCGGACCGTCTAAAAAAATACGCTGTTTCACTCGAAACGACATACCTACGAGGTTTCATTAGCAAAATTAACACGTTGAGTGCCGTATAATTTTGCCGAGAGAAATATACAAAATGAAAATAACGTAGCATCAACTCATGCAATTGAATCACGTTATTAATGCAGGTTCATCTCGTCGAATGTCACTGCATTATTATGGCATTGCTTCTAACATGGAAAAGTTTTCAAATAATCATAGTTTAATCAAATAAATTATAGTAATTCGATTTGAGGCCACCGACTCCATGGCATCCAACGTGTTAAGGACCATTACAATTAAAATTATAGTCAGCCAAGTTAAGGGACAGTTGCTATTATACCAATAATCAAGATGAACCGAGTCCTACCTGTTCAAGTACTTCACTATGATTATTACATTGAAATATACATATAACAAAATATACGTATAAATACAATTATAAATTTTCGATTTTCATTCTCTTTAATTTTCGTCCATGAGGGATCATTTCCACTCGAGTTTGCACAATGATCGTTGGGGCAGCCTGTACACGCGTGACATGGGCTATTCAATTCAAAACGTGGCGAGAAACGGTCACGATTAATTGTAATCGAGAAAAAGGAGTTACCTTCATGGACATGTTCGATGGGCACGTGTAACGTGGCCTCGCAGGATCAAAGTCGTCTTCTAACGCAGCAGAAGGATAGCACGCTTAATGTTAACGTTGCAATTGCATCGCGGTGCATCGGGCATGCTTACAAACGTGTGTCGCGTGTCACTTACGACAGCAACGTGTTTTTCCCGGGAGACAGGTGTATTGACATCGGATGACACTATACTATCACAGGCCGTGTTGAAACGCGCGTTAACACTGACACGTTCCCTCGTGTTTACGATACGCTAGGCCACGACACGCTGGCATCGTGATTTACCGGATGACTCCGAGTCACCGAATGCCCGATGAAACTGTTCGGGCCTGGTTATAGACTGGGACCGTTTCCGTTTGAATCCGCTTGGCGGTGCCACCTGACGAGCTTCTTTTTTCTTATATTATTGATAAAATTCTGGATATCGGATTTTTAGGAACAATTTTACCGTGTCGATTCTCCTGGAAGATAGAAAAAAAAGTAATAATACTGTATCTCGTTATTGATATTTTAAAGGGATGAACTTTGAAAAAGAATAGATCCTGTTGTAATCTCTGCAAATTATAGTAAAAATTGGATTCTGATCAGTTCCTGAAACTGATGGCGCCATCCGTGGAGTAATGATGAAGCTGATAGGCAAATGGCTTACCCTCAGGGTATTACAGGAATTTGACCACCGACGAGAGTCAAGATAGACTGGTCGTTCAATGTGAATTTTAGTCACCAATGTTACCAACAGAGTATAAGTAACGCTGATTTTCTTAAGCTGTGGAAAATACCATAGATTTATAAGTTGTGCTAATGCACCGATAGATTAGTAATAAACATTTGTCGGTAAAACAGAAAGTAGGTATTAAAAATATAATGATATTGGGGTATTTTAAATCTGCATAACCATTTACGACGAATTTGAAAGATCCGTTACCTACGTGGATGTGGGGACATCTAGTAATGGCGGAGGCAAATTGTGTCTTGACTGTGTCATTAAGTCGGTGACGGTAATATCATAAAGATGTTATTTTCACATAATCTTTTAAAGCTTTTACAATTTCTTGGATATTAAAATTAAATCCTTGAAATGTACTTTAAGATGCAGATGATGCAAAGAAAAAATAATTAACGCGAGACACTTTAAATGCAATCTATCTCATCAGGGCTATTTACCTTTTAAATGAATTTCTTTGGAACGGCTAAATTTTCAGGTATAATAATAAACTTTGCTTATACTACAAGGAAGTACTTTACAGAAATACCTATAAATTGGTTCACAGCCAATTAGTCCTCCGTTCAACATGAGATTCCCCAACGCCAAAATGATTGCCATTTTTCAAACCAACAACGTTCATCATTTTCCACGGTATGTGATTCTACTGCAATACATACATCAGTAAATTAAAAAAACAGTAACAAAATTCCAATACCTATATTGAATATTCTCACATTTCTAAACGTTTCAAATATTAAAATAAAAATCAGTCTTCTATAACAAGGAATCATATAATTCGAACACCAGAGATTCCAATAAATAAACTTACCAATGAATTCCATTCCCCGAAATTCCCGTCGCTGCAACGGTACAGATAAACATAAAACAAACGACAATTAAAAGTCAGAACGCGCGCTGTCGCGCTTCAAACTTACACGCTGGCTGATCGATAAAAAGACGAAAGCAGCAGGAACGAAAGCGCGCGCTTTACACGACAATTCGTCAACAAAGGAAAAGATGGCGGGCGGCGCGGGGGGCGATGGGGGTAAGTGTCCGTTTCGAATATGCCGCCAATAGGCTTCAGCCTCGACCATCAACTGACGGGTGGCGCTGACTAACCGCGGCATGAATTGAATGGACGCGAGAAACTCAAGCGTCTGCAACGCTAAAGCCAGCAGTTCCGGGTTCGCCTAAGGCGCAGGCGCCACACGTTTATTATCTTCTTTCTGTTCAAGTGCCATTTCATTGCATGCAGTGCAGTCTATAAAACAGAGAATGCGTTCTCGGTGGATCTCGAGTTTCCTATCACTTATCGTCATTCGTAGCGTATAAACATAACAGCACGCGGTCATTAACTTACAAATTGTTTACGTGTCGCGCGCGGGGACCGCACATGAGAGCTGGCTGATATTGGCGTCGGGATGCTGGTTACTGCGTGCTAGAGAAAAAAAAACCG